TTCCGACTCGGGCCTCCCCAGCTGAGCCAGGGACGTTTGCCGGGGCTCTGTGGAGAGCGTCATCCCCGCATCTTGTCCTGTCCCTTCCCCTGCTGCCGCGCATCTCCAAATTAAAGGCCGAAAGGTGAGTGGGAAGCACTGCCTGCGAACGTCCGGCTTACACACCTTCATGTCACCCCTCCAGGTAGCTGTGTTGCTCTCGGCCTTCCCCGGGGTCCAGGTCCCAGCTCGCGTTTTCCTCACCGCCGGTCACTATGGAGTGCACAGCGGGGTACCCGTCCTCCAGCGAGACGGTGGTGAAGGTGGTGAATTTCACTCTTTTCCTTTTTGAGGTAGGGGACGTTGGTGGCTCGCCCTTCTGATCTATCCCGTCCACGACCGCGGGTCCTGGAGATCGGAACAGCTGCCCGTTGATGCTCTTTGGGGAGTTGGTGTGCAGGAGATGCTTACTCTCTTCAAAGTCCATGCCTCTGTCAAAGGCGGTGATTTGCTCATCTTGGGAGGACGCCAAGTTCACGTGATTCTCCAACAGTTCTGTCCGGTGGCTCAGCCCAACCCAGTCATGGGAGTGGCTCAGACCTTCCTGTTCTTCAAAGGGCACCTGCTTGTGCCTGTACTTCAATGCAAAGGTCACACAGTTGATGAGGAAGACCAGGATGGCCAGGCAGAAGACACCCAGCAGAGCGTACATGCCGATCTCCAGGTCGCTCAGCCCTTTGGATGCCTGGCTAAGGTCACCCTCGTCGGTCTCCCCATGGCTTCTGGGGAGGTCTACCTGCGCCGGGAAGGTCTGCAGGTGGCTGTCATTGTCTAAAAGGCTTTCCTGCCCATTGTTTTTCTGGAAGGTGGACCTCTCTGTGGTGGACCCCCTTCCTTCCAAGAGGCCCGTGGAAGAACTGTCGTAGAACTGTCCCTCTTGACTCCGCCACTCTTGCAAGGGTTTTTTAGGTCTTCTGTCATAGGCGCTATTTTCCAGGTGAGCTCCTGTTCCCGTGTGTCGGCTGTCACTGGTGTTGGGGTTGGCATCGTTTTGGCCAAACTTCACTTTGATGTTGGCTGTCCCCACAGCAAGCACACTCTTCCGCTTGGATTTCTGGCACGATTCACTAATGACCATCTCGACCTTCACCAGAGCACCCTGCCCCTCGCTTTCAGCAGTGATTAGAGGCCACTGGAATTTAGGGTCTTGCTGGATGGAGACCACCTTCTCATCCAAGGACGTGGCCGTCAAGGAGAAGTCTTTGCCGTCGTAAATATCCAAGGGCGTGACAGAGCCATCACTGAACTGGACCCAGCAACTGATGGCTGCTTCCTGTTGAATAAAACAAGTTCATCAGAACGGGCCCCAAAGCTCACAGACCACCAAGCCTCAGTAAAACAGACACTCTAACAAAAACAAGCGACAAGAACAGCCAAAGCTTTTAAGTGGTGTCGAAATAAGCGATGAAAAGTACTAAGGGTATGAAAAGTCAATTCATTCTTCTGAAGATGTAAAACCAAAAGAAAACCCCCACACTAAAGTGACAGTAACGAAACAGCACCAGCGAGAAACACCCCATAATAAGATTCGCCTTGTTTCCTGGGCTGTTGAACGAACGGTGGTTCTTTGGCTGTGCAAGACCCATGCACGCACAATAATAAACTACATGTCACAGCGTATTACTGGTTAGTGGGATCATTTACAAGTGTTACACGCTTCAGTGAAAAACACTTATTGCATTATTTTTAAGATGCTTTAATGCCGAGTCCCCATGTATTACTCAGAACACAGATCAAAGCCCCTAAGGCAGACAAGGACACCCCAGAGGGGCTGCCGACTTCCGCCTCCTCCGGGTCTACAGAAGTGGGCCCCTCCTAGCTTGCGACGGTCTTGGCGTGGAGATGAGGGGTTAAACCAACCAGAGGAGACGCACTGGATTTGGACAGTCTTCGTCTCACAGCCCCGCCCGCCCCGCCACTGGGAGGAACGGGGAGGCCAACGGGTGGCCAAGGTTGGAGCCCCTCTTCCAACTCTTGACCTCTTGCTTTGTTGCTTTAGACTGACTTTCCTGGGGACCAGTCTGACCAGGGAGCTCACAGTGGCGGAAGGCGATAACCCCCATTTAATGGGAGCCTTCAATTTCGGTGACGATGTCACTGAGCTTGGCCGAGCACGGCAGGCCCACTGCTTCCTCCCAACAACTCTCCTCTCGGAGAAACGGCCACACCCCGAGCCCTGAATGATCAACAGGCCCAGGAGGAAGGTGACCTGTCCAGCTGTCTCAGCTGACGCCCAGGGAGGCAGCTGCTGTGAGCGCGCCGAGCCCGCCGGCGTGCGGTAAGAAAGCGGGTGGAGCAGCTAGCTGTGGAAGATGGGCGGGAGCTCCTATGAAGCTGGGAGTGGAGAGCCGCGATGGGCCATGGATCAGGAAATGTCATAAATGAGGCCAAAGGAACTCACAGGGGAGAGAGAGAGTGGAGTGGGCGAGCCTCCTCCCGGGTCGTA